AGAATACCCACTCTTCCCACTTCTTTTCAACATAGTACTAGATGTTCTAGCCAGAGGAATTAGGCAAGAATAAGAAATAAAGGACATCTTAATTGGAAAGGAAGGAATGCAATTGTCTGTTTGCTGACAACATGATATTTTATATAGAAATACCTAAACACTCCACCAAAACCTGTTATAACTGATAAACTAATTCAGTGAAGTTGTAGGAAACCAAATCGTATTGTAAAGATCAGTAGTGTTCCTGTACACTAACAAATTATCCAAAAAGGAAATTAATAAAGAATCCCATTTACAATAGCTACAAAAAATACTACTTAGGAGTAAATTTATTTAAGAAGATGAAAGATCTATATGCAGAAACTACAAAACATTGATAAAGAAATTGGTAAAACACAAACAGAAAGTTATTCCATGTTCATGAATCGGAAGATGTAATATTAAAACGTCCATACTATCCTTAAACAATCTACAGATTCAATAGAATCCCTATCAAAATTTTAATAATATTTTTCACATAATTAGAAAAAAAAATCTTAAAATTTACATGGAACCACAAAACACCCTAAATAGCCAAAGCAATCTTGAGCAAAACCAACAAAGCTAGAGACATCACATTACCTGACTTAAATATATATTACAAAGCTATGGTAATCAAAACATCATGTTTCTGGCCTAAAAACAGACATGTCAACCAAAGAAGCAGGATACAGAGTCCAGTAAACATCCATGAATTTGTAAATAATTGACGATTAGTCAAGATGTATAGAACACACAATGGGGAGAGAACAGTCTCCTCAGTGAATGGTCTTGGAAAAACTGGATACCTGCATGCAGAAGAAAGAATTTAAAAACTTCTCTCACACCATGTACAAAAATAAACTCAAAATAGACCAAAAACTTAAATATAAGGCCTGAAACTGTAAAGGTACTAGAATAAAAGAAGGTAAAAGCTCCACGACATAGACCTGAGTAATTATTTTTTGAGTATCACCCGCAAAGCACAGGCAATGAAAGCAAAAATACAGATGGAATAGCATTAAACTAAAATGCTTCTCACAGTGAAGTAAACAATTAACAAAGTGAAGAGACAACCTGTAGAGTAAAAGTAATATTTGCAAACCATATATCTGATAAGAGGATAATATCCAAAATTTATAAGGAACTTAAAAACTCAATAGTTAGAAAAACAACACGGTTGTAAAATGGGCAAAGAACCTGAGGAGACATTTCTCAAAAAACACATAAATGCCCAATAGTTTCATTTAATAATATTCAACATCACTAATCATCAGGGAAATAAGAAATAAAACCACAAGAAGATATTACCTCATAGTTAATAGAATGGCTATCATCAAAAAGACAAAAGTAACAAGTGTTGACAAAACTATGAATACTGTACACTAATGGTGGGAATGTAAATTAGTATAGCCATTATCTAAAACAGTATGGAAGTTCCTCAAAGACTAAAAATAGAAATGCCGTATTATCTAGTAATCCCCCTACTGGGTAAACATCAAAAGATTGAAATCAATGTGCTAAAGAGATATGTGCTGTCCCATGTTCACTGCAGAATTATTCATAAGAACTAAGAGATGGAGTCAACCTATGCATCCATCAGTGGATGAATGGAGGAAGAAAATGTGGTATATATACACAATGGAATACTGTTCAATTTTTTTCAAATACAAAGTTGTATTAATTTTCAATAAACAGCAAAAAACAGAGTCAGGCTGGGCGTGGTGGCTCACGCCTGTAATCCCAGCACTTTGGGAGGCCGAGGCGGGTGGATTACCTGAGGTCAGGAGGTTGAGACCAGCCTGGCCAACATGGTGAAACCCTGTCTGTACTAAAAATACAAAAATTACCTAGCCATGGCGGTGTGCACCTGTAATCCCAGGTAGTTGGGAAGGTGAGGCAGGAGGATCACTTGAAACTGGGAGGCGGAGGTTGCAGTGAGCTGAGATCATGCCACTGCACTCCAGCCTGGGCGACAAGAGCAAAACTCCATCTCGAAAACGAAAAAACAAACAAACAAACAAAAAACGAAGTGGAGTCAATGCACTAATTTTTAAATCTAACACAATGCTTAGCACAAACTATGCTCAATAAATAAAAACACATTATTAATGGAGTAAGATTATTCTTGAGATTCTCTAGGGTTGTGTGTGTGTTTTAAACAAAACTGAGTGGTAGGTAAAGAAAGACACCCTACAAACGTGACTGAGAAGGGCTCAAAGAAAAGAACAGCCAAGGAGGAGTGTCCCCAAATACCAAGTTAGCAAAATGAATATGGGATTTTTCAAAGCAGTATAGAAATCAGAGCTCACTGGGTTTGGAGATAATCCATGTTCAGGGCCTCATAATGAAATCTTCCCAGATTTCCAGATTCTTGATATGGAATCTGTCACAATTTCAAGGAGCTTCTGCCAAAGAAAAGGAGATCACTTCTGTTGCCTAAAATGGCCTATGTCTCCTAAATTTCCTTTGACTCTGTCACTAATATAGCAAGGGTTCATTCCAGCAAAGGATTACTACTGAGGACCAACTCCTCTCTGGTTTAGATTTTCCTTTCATAAACACATTGACCCTTGCCAAGGAGAGCTCTAAGTTTATCCAATTTCCTTTCTTTTTATCCCCCCTATACAACTCTGCTTGGCTACAAAATCTAGGACTCTCACAGCAATGGCAGCATTGGTCAAAAGGTAAGTGCCAGTTCTAATGCAAGAACTCTCTAAAGTTCAATGGTCACAATTTCTTTTTTAAATCACTTCATCTGCTACGACTTTTTTTTTCTCTTTATCTTGCCAATTATTTCTTTTAAAACACAATCCTCCGAGCTACATTCTAAGCACCAAGTTTTTTGACCAATGTATCTCTGGTATCCTCATCTTTTTGCAGATCTATGTCATCTTGTCGGGACCAAATGGGGTATCTATCAGCTCTCTGAACAGATGCTAAGAAGGAAGAAGTAGCCTCCAACTCACCAATAGTTTTTAATGTTGGTAGATCCAAGTTAAATTTTTCAATTAACTGCCGAATGATTGTAATGGCAGCTCCCACCCCCGGAAGTCCCCCTCCTTCTCTGTCTCTCCCCGCTCCTCCTCTTTCCCATTCTCACCTTTCTGCTCCTGCTGTGTTTCTGTCTTCCTCAGGCATGGGCGAATTATCATCACACATTGTTGTATGTATTTCAAAATCAGGGCTCTTGACTCACTTGTTGGAAGTGCCTTTCCGGGAGTCCTGGACTGTTCTTTCAGCTCAGTTTTCCATCTCTCTGCGAGATGCTGACAAAAACATGCTTCTGATTCAATGCCTCCACTTAGTTGTAACAATACGTTTATCAGAACTGCCTGGCATCCTCCTGAAAAAGACTTTCAATAGGGCCCAGTATGTTTCACTTCATCCTGAAGTTTTCTCAAGCATCTTCTAAGATGTTTAAGTACTCTTTCGCAGTGGCACTAGGAGCCAGCAGAGGAACAGATACACATTCTCTCAAGATGTCTCTCCAGCAGTACTTTTCCCTCTTTGTTTCCAAGGCCTTGGCTTTTCTCATCATTTCCAGTGTATATGAGCAAGACACAATGCTATCACACATCCCCCTGCAGCTTTAAAAAGAAGCAGAAGCAAGCAGTATTTCCAGCCAGGCCACCAAGCACCATCATGTACCTGCCTGACAGTCCAAAGCCAGCATTATAGGTAACTCTGGCAGGACTAATCCCCTTCATTGCTCCACCACTGGTCCTGCTAATAACAAAGGCTTATATTCCCATATTAGCTTTTACTCAGATGGAGTCAGTTTCGTATCCTTCTTGTGGTGGTCAGATGGGGTTTTGCTCTACCAGAAGGCAGTCCAGGCAAACCCGACTTCCTTAATTTAGCTAATAGTACAGTTCCTGTTGTGTTTTCATGGTATGCCTTATTTCTGAAACACTCAGTGAAGCCACAGTCACAGTAATAGGTAACGGGGAGAGCATTACACATTGAACTTTTTCTCTTACCACATTATCCCAACTGGTTTAAAGCCCTGAGGAGAGTAGTCACTTTATTGGCCACTCTTTCATTTGTAATCGCTTTAGTGTTAAAAATATTTACTCAGACAGGACCTAAGAGACCTGGTCAAGTAGAAAAGGTATAAATCTACACCGTAGATAACACTGGTATACTGGCTACAACTTTTTCTACTTCTGTTTGTCTCTTCCCCCCACCCCGCTCCCCCCGCCTAACCCCCCCACCCCCGCCACCAATGGTAATTTATTCTTCGCACATTATTCTTCATTTCCAGAAGTTGTTATTTCATAATGAGAGGTGACAACATGCTAGCAGCCCTCGCTCTCGGTGCCTCCTCAGCCTTGGCGTCCACTCTGGCGGCGCTTGAGGAGCCCTTCAGCCGGCCACGGCACTGTGGGAGCCCCTCTCTGGGCTGGCTGAGGTCGGAGCCGGTTTCCTCTGCTTGCTGGGAGGTGAGGAGGGAGAGGCGCGGGCGGGAACCGGGGTTGCGCGCCGTGCTCGCGGGCCAGCGCGAGTTCCGGGAGGGCATGGGCGTGGGCTCAGCTGGCGCCGCCGGCCCCGGTCAATGAGTTCCGGGTGGGCGTGGGCGTGAGCGAGTTCCGGGTGGGGTGGGCGTGAGCGAGTTCCGGGTGGGGTGGGCTGAGCTCGACTGGCGCTGCCGGCCCCGGGCAATGAGGGGCTTAGGACCGAGGCCCGCAGCCGCAGGGGATGCACCGGGTCCCCCAGCACTGCCGGCCGCCAGCACCGTGCTCGAATTCTCCCCGGGCCTCAGCTGCCTCCCCGCGGGGCAGGGCTCGGGACCTGCAGCCCGCGACTGAACGGGGCGAGCGGGCATTTTCCTTCACGTAGGCCCGAAAGGCCACGTCGCCCGCGTCCGTGAAGGCAGCCCCGCGAGCGACTACGGCTCGGGCTCTGCGGCGCGCTCGGCCAGGGTCCTGCCCTGCGTCTGTGCCTGGGTGGGTCGCCTAGGCGGGGCTCAGCGATAGGCCGCCCGCCCCGGCCGCTGCAGCCTTCCAGGCCGCCAGGACGCACTGCGCAGGCAAAGCCGCCCGAGGGCTCCCGCACCCCGCCCTCGGTGCAGCCGCCGCTTGGCGGGCCTGGGCCGCACGTAGAAGGACGTGGAGCTGCCGTCCTCCTTCGCGAACAGAGTTGAGGAATGGTTGGGCCCGTTGGGGTTTTTGCCCAAATCCATCGCTTCCACCGTGTCTTACGCCGGGCACCAGAGGAGCCGCCCCCTCCCGAGCACCTAGCACGCAGAGAGCGACTGATTGAGCCACTACTAATTTTTAGAAAGAAAATAACCCTCTTATTTGTGACAACATGGATGAATCTGGAGAATATTATGCTAAATGAAAGAAGCCAGGTACGGAAGGACAAATACTGCATGCTCTTAATTATATGTGGAATGCAAAAAAGCTTAACTCATAGAAGCAGAGTAGAATGGTGATTACCAGAGGCTGGGGGCAGGGGAGGCAATAGGGAGATGTTTGCCAAGGAGTACAAAACTTCAGTTAGGAGGAATATGTTACCACGCAAATGGTAATCAAAAGGAAATAGGAGTGGCTATACATATATCAGACAAAGTAAACAAGTCAAAAGTTGTCGCTAGAGACAAAGAAGGTTATTACATAATGATAAAAGGGTGAATTTAACAGAAAGATAGAATAATTGTAAACGTATATGCATCCAAAAACTTTACAGCACCTAAAGTTAATATTGAGAGAGAAAAAAGGAGAAATTGACAGCAGTAGAACAATGATAAGAAACGTTAACACTCCACTTTGAGTACTAAATTGAACATCCAGGCAGAAAATCAAGAAATAGTGAACTTGAACAACACTGTTAGCCAAATGGGCTTAACAGACTTGTACAGAACTTTTCACCCAACAGCAGAAGAATACACATTCTTTTTAAGTGTACAAGGAACATGCTCCAAAATACATCACATGTTAAGCCACAAAACAAGTTTTAACCAGTTTAAGGAGATCAAAATTATATGAAGTATCTTTTCTGACCACAATGAAGTGGAACTAGAAATCAGTAACAAGAAAGGGGGACAATTCACAAATACATGGAAACTGACATACTCTTAAAAACTACTGGATCAAAAAGTGATTTTTAAATACATCTTGAACTGAAGAAACATACTAAAAGTTATGGGATGCAATAAAAGCAGTAATGCGAAGAAAGTTTGTAGTGATAAATGCCTAAATTTAAGAAGTGGAAAGATATCAAACAACTTAACCGTACACATCAAGGAATTACAAAAAGCAGCAGCAGCTAAGCCAAAGCTGGCAAAAGGAAAAAATAATAGGGATTAGAATAGAAACAAATCAAATGGAAAGTAGAAAAACTATAGAAAAATACCAAAAATAAACATTGTTTTTTAGAAAAGAATAAAATTGGCAAACTCTTAGCTATACTAAGAAAAAAAGAGTAAAGAAACAAAAGCAGAATTAGGAGTCATTACAACAGATCACTCAGAAATAAAAAGGATCATACGAGACTATTATGAACAATTATATACCAACAAATTGGATAACACAGGAAATGGGTAAATTCCTAGAAACATACAACCTACTAAGGCTGAACCAAGAAGAAATGGAAAGCCTGAACATACCAATTACAAAGAGATTAAAGTAGTAATAAAATGCCTCCCAGCAAAGAAAAATCTAGGACCAATTGGCTTCACAACTGAATTCTACCAAACATTCAAAGAAGAAATAACACCAATCCTTCCTAAACCTTTCCAAAAAATAAAAATAGAGGAAATGCTTCCAACTTCTTTATGAGTCCAGCAGCACTCTAATACCAAAACCAAAGACTCCACAAGAAAAGAAAACTATAGGCTAATATCTCTGATTAACATACATGCAAAATATCTTTGATAAATTGCTAGCAAACCAAATTCAACAACACATCAAAAAGTTTATACACCATGACCAAGTGAGATTTATCATTGGGATACAAGGTTGGTTTAATACATGCAAAACAATCAATATAATAAACCACATGAAGAGAATGAAAGATTAAAACCACATGATCATCTCTATAGATGCAATAAGCACATTTAATGAAGTTTAATATCCTTTCATGGTTAAAAAAATCCAAGGAAAATAGATATAGAAAATGCTGTGGTATGAATGTTTGTGTCTCTAAAGTTGAAACCTAAACCCCAATGCAATAGTATTAAGAGATGTGGGCTTTAGGAGATGATTAAGTCAGGACGGTTTCTCCCTCAAAAATGGAATTAGTGCCTTTGTAAAAGAGGCCTAAAACAGCTTGTTCATCCTTCTACCATGTAAGAATAAGAAGATGCCATCTTGAAACAGAGAACAAGCTCTCACCAGACAATCAGCTAGTGCCTTGATCTTGGACTTGTCAGCCTCCAGAACTGCGAGCAATACATTTTTCGTGTTTATAACTTCTTATTGTAAGGTATTTTGTTATTGCAGCCCAAACAAATAAAGATGGCAGGAAATTTCCTCAACATAATAAAGGCTGTTTATGACAAGTCCACAATGAATACCATTATCAATGAGGGAAACTGAAATCTGCTAAGGTCTGGTAAAAGAAAAGGATGTTCCCTCTTGCCACTTCTATTTAACACAGTACTGAAAGTACTAGCAAGAGTAATCAGAGAAGAAAGAAAAGCCATACAAATCAGAAAGGAAGAAGTAAAAGTGTCTCTGTTTGCATATAATATGATCCTTTTCTTAGAAAACTGTAAATACTCCACCAAAAAAACTTTTTAGCAATAATAAATTCAGTAAAGTTACAAGATATGAAATCAACATAAAATCAGCTGGTTCCATTCACTAACAAAGAAATATCTAAAAAGGAAGTCAAGAAAACAATACCATTTACAAGAGCTACAAAACAGAACATACTTAAGAATAAATCTAACAAGGGAAATAAAAGATCTGTACCACCTTTTCACAAAAAATTTTTTTTAGAGATGGGGTCTTGCTATGTTGCCCAGACTGGTCTCAAGCTCCTGGCCCCAAGTGGCCTCCCAAATTGTTGGGATTACAGGTGTGAATCACCATGCCTGGTTCAGGTAAATGATCTGTATACTGAAAACTATAAAAATTGATGAAAGAAATTAAAGAGGGCATTAATATATGGAAAGAAGACCCCATCTCTACAAAAAAAATCCTAAAATATTAGTCAGGCATTGTGGCACAGGCCTGTAGTTCCAGCTACTGGGGAGGCTGAGGAGGGAGGATCACTTGAGCCCAGGAATTTGAGGGTTCCATGAACTATGATCACACCACTGCACTCCAGCGTGGGTGACAGAGTGAGACCTCTCAATAAATAAGTAAATAAATAGATATCCTGTGTTTTGTGTGGAAGAATTAATACTGTTAAAATTTCTATATATCCTAAATGATCAATAGATTTAACACTATATAGAAATTTTAATGGCATTTTCCACAGAAAAAAAAAATACTAAAATTTGTATAAACCCACAAAAAGTTTTAAATATCAAAATAGTATTAAGAAAGAAAAATAAGGTTGGAGCATCATACTTCCTGACTTCAAAATTTATGGCAAAGCTATAGAAATCAAACAGAATGGTCCTGGCATAAAAGTCAACACATAGACGAATGGAACAAAATAAGGAGCTCATAAATAAACCATCTCCTGGAGTCTCAGATACGCCAGTCTCACCAGTGTTCCTTTCTGTGGATTGTCTCCTTTTTTATTGTGTTTTGTTGTTATTACTGTTTTTGCTCCACTGTGTTGCCTCACATTCTTTAATGTGCCTTTGAGTCCTCTTAGAGATATTTTCATTTGTGGATAGCTATTTATTTTCTTTGGTGGGGGATAAAGGCTAGTATCTCCAATTTTACCATCTTGATGACACTCCCCACCACAATTTGTTTCCGTATCTTGACTATTGTAAACAATGCTTCAATGAATATGGAAGCACATATATGTTTACAAGGTGGTGAGTATATACCCAGAAGAGGGATTGCTGGGTCATATATTAGTTCTATTTTTAAAAAATTTCTAGAGGAAACTCCACACTGTTTTCCAACATGACTGCACCAATCTACATTTCCATCAACAAATGGGTTTTCTTTACTATACACCCTCACCAACACCTGTTATATCTTTTCTCTTTGATAATGGCTATCCTAGCAGTTGTGAGATGGTATCTCATGGTTTTGATTGTCATTTCCCTGATGACTAATGATGTTGGACATTTTTATATTTCTGTTGGCCATTTGTATGTCTTCTTTTTAGATGTGTCACTGGTGACCACATTCCTACTCCACAGGATCTTCCTCAACGGAAACCATCTCCTGTTGCTAGCAAGCTGGCCAGCTGATTAAAAGAGCTGAACTGCATGAATCTGCTAATTCCCATGATTTCTCCTTAATATGTTACTTACCTACTTTTTATTTTCTTTCATTCACTAAGTCATTTGAGACTGACAGCTTTGCAGGTAGCAGTAGTGTGTGCTTCTATTGTGGAATATACTTGTGTAGAGTTTTTGATTCGTTTAACAGTGCACTGGTGAAGAGGATGTGTTAGAGCAACATTAGTAAACTACTTGAAAATAATTGTTTGTATTATCTAACTCCAAGTGTAGTACTGGTTCAAACAAGTAACCAGCAAGTTTTAAAATTTTAATGTTTTGGCTTTCATTACTTCATCTTAATTACAGCTTTGTATGTTACTCTTATTTAATATAATCTCTATTGTATTGATTTCTTCTGTATTTACCTTAAACAGAAGTTTAAGACTACAAGTTAGAAGAAAGGTCACATATTTCAAATACAACTAGATAGGTCTCCACAAGATTTGTGTCTCTGCTTGAACTTGAATGGCCTTAAACCTGTTTCAGCTTTAACAGTAGAATTTTACTTGGGCAATATTTCCCCGTTCTGGTGTAACTTATGTGTCTCTAGTGCTTAGCAGCTGCCGTTGAAGCTAATATTCTTATTCAGTTCTGTAGAGTCAGAATACCTTTTGTTGTTGAAGATATAAATGAAGTATGCATGTGCGTTGACTGTTGAATTCACTTTTGTGCCATTTTTGTAAATACAATAGTTTTGCACAGCCTCTCACAAATGTCTGTATTTATTTCACATATTTAAAAAGTAGATAATGTGCCAACCAGAAGCTCAAGAGTTCCTAAACAAAAGTCTGTAAGTCATTATAGCTTTTGTATCATAAGAGTAGTTTATAATCTCGGGCTTATAGAATACCAAACTGAAATCTTAGTTCAATCTGTCATAGACTTAAGCTTTTCATTTGTTACTAATATCCACGACATTCAGTGGCCTTGTGCAAATACGATGTGTTGCTTAGGAATAGCTTTTGTCCTATGCAGAACCTTTCATTTTGATTTTTATGAAAGTTACAATTCATATAATTTATATAAACTTTTTAAATGTAGAAACTTTTTACTTCCACACTCAACTTTGGAGACACTAGAGTAAAAGGCTTCAATACTCTGCATTCCATGCCCCCTGCCACCCGCTTGTTTTCCCCTTTGTTCTTCGACTCAAATGGTATTGGGTTGTTTGTTCTATACAGAAACATATCCTTACTCTTTTATATAACACAGTAATGATGTTTTCCTTCTAATTTCTCAGTTGTTAAACTCTCTCTCTCTTTTTTTTTTTTTTTTTTTTGAGATTAGGGTCTTGCTCTGTCACCTGAGCTCTAGTGCAGTAGTGCAATCATGGCTCACTGCAACCTTACTCCTAGGCTCAAGTTAACTATTCTTAATCCTTTATTATTACTAATATTATACAATTGTTTAAATAAAAGGAACTTTATGATGAAACAGTACAGAATGCTGGCTCAAGAACCTATGTCAAGATGAGCTGAATTTTGGTAAATTATTTTAGGAATTATGACAAGCTAATAGAATTGGTCTTGTGACAATGAGAGGAATTTACATGACGGGTAAAACTTAGTCATATTAAAAATGTTTAGATATTTGCTTCTATAGGTGTCCACTTTAGTGAAATACCAATTTAGTTTTACTTGTGGCTTATCTAGTTAGTAAGAACTCTAACAGACTTTATTGGGACAAGTGTACCGCTCTTGTAGGAGGTCCTCTCACAAGCAGTTGTAATGCCATGCCATGATACTCAGGATCAGAAGCTTGAGATGTTACTATTTTTCTCTTCACCTTTGACTTGCAGAGAGCCTCTGCTTTTTGGATCCAGGCATCTTTTCTGAATCCTGTTCCCATTAGTATACCTGCTCTCCTATGATCCCAAATCATAGTCAATGGTGCCTCGAACACAGCACCTTCAGGTAAAGGCTGCCTAGTGCTCCAGGGAAAGCTGGCTGATTATCTCCCTGCTCTACTCACCCTAAAAGGCAGAAAAGCAACATAGTCACTCCTGTGCTCATTTGTAATTGTAAAGATCAGTTATATATAGATTTGTAATGAGAGCAAGTATATACTCATTATAGGATCAATTTAAGAAGTTTAAAATATCCCGAAGTAGAATTTCTATATCTAGTCTTCTGTTTTTGTTTTTGTTTTTTTTTTCATGAATATTTGCAAGTGATTACCCTTAACTTCACACATGACAGATTAATCTGGAAGATCAGAGAGACCACGTTATTCCTGATCGTGACAGAATTGCTCCTGTGGTTTGGGACAAGTAACAAAACATCTGCGTGAGTTTTGTTTGTAAAATATGCTATTAATATTTGACCTACCTCAAAACGTGTTGAGGATCTGTGAAATACTAAGTGCCCAAAATAAAATATTGCTGATTGGTTTTTTTACTAAAAGTAAATTTCCTCATTAAGCCAACCTGCCTTCTGTAAGTCACAGTGCTTAAATCTCAGGATTTTTCATTAGGAGAGACCTGTCGTTAAGGATTTGCAGGTACAATTGCTTAGCCTCCATTATTGGTGATTGGGATAGAGAGGTTTTACATTTTTCTGTTTTCCGTCCTGCCTCAAAGCTCAGTTTATTGGAGACATTTGTAAGCTATTGGATCATCACTTGAATCAAGATTTCAAGTAGTGAAATTAATTGTCCATTTCTTATTATTTCAAAGCTATAGTCTGAGAAATGGCTAATTTTAATAACTGTCCTATCATAAATTAATGTTGGGATAAACTGAAGTTGGAGATAAATACTTCATGAAAACTAACTAAAGTCTGACACAAATTACCTGTTTTATGTCCAATAGCTACTACATTTGATAGAACAGTTTTGAGAAACATTTCATTCTTGAAGGCAACATCTGACATGGTTCTCAGCAAGTTGGAATAGTAAGGATTGTTGGGTTGTTTTGATGAGTGGAAGCAACATGTTTGTAGCATACAAGTTATTTAATAATCTTGTGCTGTTGACCTAAAAATATGTCTTAACTCTTCATCAAGGCAAGCCTGGTGAAGCCTTTACTTGTTACTACTTCAACAGTTGGAATTAGTTGCTCTTTTTACTTGATGAAACAAAATTATACCTCTGAATATTTATGGATACTTTTTACAAAATCAGGCTTGTGTTCTTAATCCAAATTAGTAAAGTTTTATGGAAGCTGAAATATAATACAGTAGTCTCCCCTTATCTGCAAGAGATACATTCCAACACCCCTAGTGGATGCCTGAAACCTCAGATAGTACTCAACCCTTTATAGACGATGTTTTTTCAATCTGACAACCAAGGCGGCTACTAAGCGACTAAGGGGCAGGTTGTACACAACCTGTGTGGACAAGCAGGACAAAGGGATGATGCACACCCCGGGCAGGACAGAGCAGGAGGATCATGAGATTTCATCACTCCATGGCTTGTAATTTATTATTATTATTATTGTTATTATTATTATTATTTTTATTTATTTTTTTAGAGATGTAGTCTCACTCTATCACCCAGGCTGGAGTACAGTGGTGTGACCTTGGCTCACTGCAGCCTCCGCCCTCTGGGTTCAAGCAATTCTCCTGCCTTGGTCTCCGAGGTAGCTGGGAATGCAGGTGCCCACCACCATGCCCAGCTAATTTTTGTATTTTTAGTAGAGACAGGGTTTCACCATGTTGGCCAGGCTGATCTTGAGCTCGTGACCTCAGGTGATCCATCTTCCTTGGCCTCCCAAAGTGCTGAGATTACAGGCATGAGCCACCGTGCCCAGCCGGCTTGTGATTTAAAACATGAATTGTTTATTTCTGGAATTTTCCACATAATACGTTTGGACCAAGGTTGCCTCGGGTAACAAACTATGGAAAGTGAAATTGCAGATAAAGGGGGTTACTGCTCCTGTGCTCTAAAATTGGCGTTTGGGTGATTGGGAGCAGGTAGCCAATGGGAAGAGCACTTCTGAGTGATAACGAAAGCAGTTTCTTTGGTGGACTTTTTACATTCTCCAATGTTCAAGCATATTTTCCACTTTCCATTTTCTCTTTCACCTCCTGTTGCCTCATCATCCCTCATCCCTGCTTATTTCTTAAGCCCATTGATGGCACTCATTAAATTGTGTTTAGGGCTAATGAATCATTGTTCCTTAATATCCTTTTCAACATGCCACAATTTAGAACCCATTTAAAATTTTCTAAAACAATATCCTAATCTGAGTATTAACTAATTTGAGCCACATTCCCAACACTAACTCAGCACACACTGCCAGTCTTCCCCAATATCTCCTCTCAATTCCCCACCACACTATAAAATTGGAATCAGAAATCTCACTCTCATTGTTCATCTAAGAATAAAAACATGCATTTTAACACTGTTTTACTAGTTTCAGCCTTCTAAGTATGTAGTCCTCTAGGTATTCTGCAGATCACCGGTGGTCTTGATAGTTATTAATATACTTTCATATTATGTTATTTTTCAACCAAATCGCAGTTGGAAAAAAACCTCTTTAATATTATGCCCTTGGATCTGTTACTTCATCACTAATACTTGTGATGCAATAGGACACTTCACCTGTACTAAAAGGGCCAAGAACAAATGCCTTGTTTTGTTGTCGTTGTTGTTAAACATGTCTATAGAGTTGGCAGTTAATGCTGAATTTGTCAAATAGCCCTTCCAAAATTATACTTGTATTTAAAAAATAAATGGATCTACCTAATTTCTATTGATTTAATTTGCAGTTTTGTCTTATTATTATTATTCAAGTGGCATGTTTTTCAGTGTATTTTTTCTAACGTTGCTCTCTTTACATTTCAGCTCTTACTGTATGCAGAAAGAAATTGACTTGTAATCTTTGATTTTTTTGCATTTGTAAAGGCTTTGTACTTAAGGCAGGATTACATGTTTACAGATTGTGGAAAAAAAAAAGAAAAAAAAGAAGAGTGAAGGGAGAGAAAAGATGGGGCGAGAGGCCCAAGAACTTCAGGATCCAAGAGTTAACTCGGATTAACTCAGATACTTTGTTCAGCCAATATTCAGACTTCTTTTTTCCTAATATAAGCACTTAAGGATAAGCCTTTCTGTAAGAACTGCCTTACATGCATCATACAGTGTTTTAAATGTAGTGTTTTCATTCTTCTTCTAGTCTAATTACCTTCAACTTCTATTATTAGTTCTCTTAGACCTATTAGTTATTTAAAATTGTGTTATTAGCAATTTCTGAGTTCACGGGGTTTCCTCTTTTTAAATTCCTCTTTACCTTCGTAGTGCTCTCCGTGGAAACTGCTTTCTGATCTAGTAAGTGCTTATTCTTCGTGCATTCTTCTTCCCCAGACTTGAAATCGCTGTGTAATCTCTAACCGTGTTTGTCCTGGCTTAGTACATCTAACGAATGACTGAATGAATGCATCTTTGCCTTACCCCCAGGCCTGAAGCCTCGTCTTGGTCTCTTTCTCAATACCTTGGATCCTTGGAGATCAAGGTCCTGGTTGTTCTGGCAAGTTCAACCCCATCTGGCCTCATGATCAGAGTCCTGTCCCTGAACTCAAGATAAGGGAGGGATGGGCAGAATTTCCTCATGCTGTGCCAGGAAATATGAGTCTCATGGAGCATTGCCTGTGTGCCTGGACAAATTCACTGCCTCACTGCCCTGTGCTGAGATGATTTCTATCTTTTTTTTTTTTCTTTTTTGAGATAGAGTGTCACTCTGTCACCAGGCTGGAGGGAGTGGTGTGATCTGGGCTCACTGCAAACTCCCCCTCCCCAGTTCAAGCGATTCTCCTGCCTCAGCCGCCCAAGTATGTGGGACTACAGGTGCGTGCCACCATGTTTGGCTAATTTTTGTATTTTTAGTAGAGACGGGGTTTCATCATGTTGGCCAGGATGGTCTTGAGCTCTTGACCTCATGATTCACCTGCCTTGGCTTCCCAAAGTGCTGGGATTACAGGCATGAGCCACTGCACCCGTCCAATCTCTCTTTCAGGGATAGATGCTCACTCTGTCTTGCAGCTCTGCCTGCCAGCCTAAGCCTGAAAATACCTCTGCGTCTGGCATTCCTATGCCACCTATGTGGGGCACTGTCTTGACTCAGAACAAAGTCCCTCCAAGTGTACCCTACTCTCTTTCCATGACCGTTTCTCTGGTCTGAGATAGATGTTTATGACCTGCCAATAAATGCAGTGATTCAAAGTCCAGGGCCCACACTCCTCATTCATACAGCCATGTTTAGGGAGGTTCCAGGAGAAAAGCACAGCTTGACATCAGTTCATGAAGAGCCTCTCCATGGCTCCTGCATCTGAGACAGCTGGCCTGCCCTCCAAATCATCCATCCACCCCTGCCGTCATCTGTTTTCACGGCGTGAGATCAACCCACAGGAATATCCATGGCTTTCGTGCTCATTTTGGTTCTCAGTTTCTACAAGCTGGTGTCAGGTAAGCCTTTCCGTTTAGATGTTGTTTGTCTCCTTGTTGAATAATATTTTGAGTTCATTCGTGACAATGAACTCAGCACAGCGAGATGCAGAAATCTTTGGTGCTTGCATTCTCCAGCTTCCCCTGGCCTCAGGCTGGCAACTACCAATGCCAGGAGCTGTGGGAAGCACAGGGCAGCAGGAATTCAGGAGCAGACCCTGTGGGCTGTTTCTCAAGGACATGGGCACTGTGTGCACTATTATAGCAGCCCAGAATAATGGGAGCAGCCCTGGGAGTGGGGAGGGAACACACCGAGAATGCTAAGGTAAATACATTGTTTTCCCCGGTGGGCTGTGGGGCTTAGGCAGGGGAGGTCTCTAATAAAATCCCCAGGTTTTTGACTTGGGTGTCTGGGTGGAAGGTGACACTGTTTAGGATGTTTGGAGAAAAAGACAATGTGTCCAGTTATGTACATGCTGAGTTAGAAACACCTGTGGATATGGGGTAAAGCACCAGACCTTTAAGTGAGGAATAAGTTGGAACCTGGCATATTCTAGGCAGAAATCCACTCTTCTTTCTCCTTCTAGTAACCATCAACACAAAGCCTGGTGTATAGGATTTTCAGTAATCCAATAAATTTTGCAGGGAGAGATGGGGACTGGAGTAGAACACTGGGCAGGGAGAGATAGGGACTGGAGTAGAACACTGGATTCTGGGTGGTCAGTGTCAAGCCATGAAAAGTTCATTTGACTGTGTTCACTCTCTGTCTGAAATAGTTCCATCCTGCTATTTGTCTACCTATGACTGTTTTGCTAAACAAAGCCAAGAAAACAGAAATAAGGGCATCAAAATCCATGTGTGTTGGCCGGGCGCAGTGGCTCACACCTGTAATCCCAGCACTTTGGGAGGCTGAGGTGGGTGGATCGCCTGAGGTCAGGAGTTTGAGACTAGCCTGGCCAACATGGTGAAAATCTGTCTCTACTGAAAATACAAAAATTAGCTGGGCGCGGTGGTGGGCACCTGTAATCCTAGCTACTCGGGAGGCTAAGGCAGGAGAATTGCTTAAACCTGGGAGGTGGAGGCTGCAGTGAGCCGAGATCGTGCCGCTGCACTCTAGCCTGGGTGACAGAGTGAGACTTTGTCTCAAAGAAACAAAAACAAAAAACCACAATCCATGTGTGTTACTCACAAGAGAGCCTCCATTTAAGTACATTCTCACCCATTTTCTGACGAGCTTTTCTGTCTGCTTTCTGTTTCTGCATGAGGCAGCAGGGCATCCTGGAAATGACCTTGGAGGAAGTAAGACTATTTTTAAAACTTTCCTTTTCTCTGCCTATGAGCTTGTGGCTAATAACTTCTATTAGTGTCAGTTTTTGTTTGTGATGACATAGAGGTAATAATATCACATCCGTGACATCCTGTGGCTGAAGGGCTACTGTGTGGACTGCATGGACTTCTGCATGTAGAGCATGCAGCACAGAGCTCCACTGGTGCACAGTGTGTTGCAACCACAGACAGTGTTATTCCTTGCTTCTCCCCAGGGGAAGGAGTAAAGGGAGATGCTGTCAGCAAGAAAAATGACAGCAGCAAGGCCGGCCGGAGAAACAGACATGTACTAAAAACTGTTTGCCCAGCTTGAGAGTCTCACGCAGCCTTCAGGGCAGCACTCACAGCAGCCCAGCTGACAGGTTGGTTCCCAAAAACTGATCTAGAGCAAGGGCCTTTCTGCAGATGGTTTGTTTAACAGATCGTTCTCAGAAACAAAAGCGACAAGGTGCAAAGAGTGAAGCCAGTGGGAGGAAAGCCATAGAAGGTGCACGAATGAACAGCTTGCGGTGGTGGCAACTGGGACCCAGTCCCACTGTGTCCTTTGGAGGAACCATATAGATGATGGCTCAGGATCTTCCCAACATCCACCGCTTCCTGTTCCCCACTGGGTGAGATGTGCCCCCCGGGACTATTAAAATCGCAAACCTTCTTGGCTGCCCTGTGCCTGGGCTGAGTAAGTTCCAAAGGTTGCAAGAAGCCATCAGCAGAGAGGCAGAGGCCAGGCTCCAGGGGCGGAGCTGTCAGCAGGCAGGGAAATGCCCATCCCACTGCAGGGGGACTCAGGGTTGGGCGGTGAGGAGCAGGGCCTCAACATCTGCTACAACACGTCAGCAGCTAGTCAGACATCAGGTGGCAAAATCACACCTCATTTAATAATACTCTTAAAGATGCACAAGTGAAATACATTTCAGCAAGATTTATAAAATGTACTTCAACTTAGACATAATTAGTGCTAAAATTAAAAACATCCACTCATCTGGAAATTAACACATGGGATCCACTTTGCCTCTGATGCACATGCAGACAGCACACACAGGTTTACCAATATACCATAAATGGATACATGTGAATGAATCAAGAGACACTGCCAGTCAAAGCGTTGGGTACTTGGAAGATGAAGGGAGTGGGCCTCCATCATTTGTGATCACTCTAAGAAGAACTCTAATCATACAGAGTTGTAAGTGTGATTTACACCAGGAAAATTACTTAGTTGACCACAAAACCGAGAAGCAAATGCACAAAGAAAGTAGCACTCACCATTCACGAGCATAATCCCTGTCTGCGGAGCCCATTCTCTGTGCTGGGCATGGGGAATCCTGTGCTGAGGAAAACACACACACTCTGTCCTCATGAAGCTGAGAGTTGTGCAGGGAAGACTTGCAGAAAACAAACAATTATGTCACTTGCAGCAAGATGAAGACAGTTTCAAGTGAGGATCAAGACAAAGCTGTACCAAGAAAATACAAACAAACAAACAAACAAAAAAACAGGTAAGCCATGTTGATAAAGCACTAGAGTCGGGGTGTCCAATCTTTTGGCTTCCCTGGGCCATGTTGAAAGAAGAAGAACTAACACTAACAATAACTAATGAATGAAAAAATATCACAAAAAGTCTTATAATGTTTTAAGAAAGTTTACGAATTTGTATTGGACCCTATTCAAAGCCGTCCTGAGCCTCATGCAGCCCACAGGCTGTGGCTTGGACAAGCTTTTGCTAGATGAAGTACTATTCAAGTACGAAATAATAAAGTGGAAAAACATAAAATTATTACCTGGAGTAAAAGGTAGGTGTCATGGAAAATATATGTCACAACGTGAGTGCACTAAAGAGCAAATCTCTGAAACAAAAACTATAAAATCTCCTCACTGTGTCATACCATGTCCTTCAGAATGTGGCAGAAGTCTACTTAAAAAAAGAAGCACAAATAAATGTGCTTCAGCAGAGAATATGTATTTCTCTCTTGTATCCATAAAACATTTACAAGACGTAATCATCTATTCGAAGGAAATAAATTTCCCCAAATTGGATATTTTATGGCCACTTACTCCCCTCCTGAGTCATTTAAAAAGGTTTTTAGCATAGAAGATGCAAAGGCGGTGGTGTGAGTGTTCATTAAGCAGCTGGGCAGAGAGCACGAGGAGGTAGATTCTCCTCTACTCAGGGAGTCTGCATTTGGAAGGTGCCTCTCAGGCCTCTGAACAACTCAGCCCCAGAGACAGGGTTTCCTCATGTTGAATGTGGGAAATATTGATAGCACAGACCTCACCTCATCTCACATGAGATGTGTATGAGAACCGAGTGAAGTAACTGACACGGAAGGGTTCTCACAAGTGTAAGAAGATGCGCAAATCCAAGTCATCAGGTTTAGAAAGAAGACTGATGGATCCCCCACCCCACACCCCACACCCCACACATCTCCGCCCACCAGAGCCCTGAGAAGGACTCAAGTAGATTTTGCTCAGTTATCTGTTATGTTTCCTCCTATAGGACAGTGGCAAGTGACTGGACCGGGCAAGTTTGTCCAGGCCTCGGTGGGGGAGGACGCAGTGTTCTCCTGCTCCCTCTTTCCTGAGACCAGTGCAGAGGCCATGGAAGTGCGTTTCTTCAGGAATCAGCTCCATGCTGTGGTCCACCTCTACAGAGATGGGGAAGACTGGGAATTTATGCAGATGCCACAGTATCAAGGGAGAACTGAGCTTCTGAAGGTCTCCATTGCAAGGGGGCATGTCTCTCTAAGACTAAAAAACATCACTCCCTTGGACATGGGCCTGTATGGGTGCTGGTTCAGTTCCCAGATTTACGACAAGGAGGCCACCTGGGAGCTGCAGGTGTCAGGTCAGTTGTTTATTTATGACTGAGTTGTCTTGCAAAGTCATGCTACCGTTATCAGCTCTTGAGAGTATTTCAGATAATGAAATAAAACAGGCTTTCCAGATTCTGACATGATGTAAAAAGGCTTCGGTGGGCATCCCTGACCTGAGGTTTCTGGAGATGAGCCTGGCCCTGCCATCACACAGGTGGGGTCATGACACAGAGGACAGCCACCTGCACCTGCCACCACCTGACAGGATACGGAGGAAAACCACTCCCACCCTGTTGGTGAAATGAGAGTGACGATGCCTGTCCTGTTTCAATTTCTTTTGTTTTCTTCTTCTTTTTTCTTGACTTCTTGTGTGTTACTAAATTTTTTTTAGGATTCCATTACAACTTATTGTTAGTCTTTTTTTAGTATAATATTTTGTCATGTTTTCTTAGGTGCTGTTCTAGTGTTATGATATTCATATATAATTTGTCACAATCTACTGTATCAACATTTTACCACTTTGAAGTGTGGAAACTTCATTTTCATTTAGATCCCTTTAATCTCCACAATTTAAAAATAATACTGCCTTGAGTATTTCTTCTATATACATAAGCACTTCATCAGATAGTGACTTAATTTCTGTTTAAACCATCATATGTAATTTTTATTTTTAGTTTTCTTTGAGACAGAGTCTTGCCCCGTCACCCAGGCTGGAGTGCAGTGGTATGATCTCAGCTCACTGCAACCACCACCTCCTGGGTTCAAGTGATTCCTGTACCTCAACCTCCTGAGTAGCTCAGATTACAGGCATGCACCACCACATCCAGCTAATTTTTTTTGTATTTTTAGTAGAGATGGGGTTCTGCCATGTTGGCTAGCTGGTCTCAAACTCCTCACCTCAAATGATCCCCAGCCTTGGCCTCCCAAAGTGCTGGGATGACAGGCGTGAGCCACAACACCCAGCCCATATGTGATTGTTAAACAGTAATAAAATGGAAAATCTATTGTAGTTTTCCTTATTCTTCTTTTTCTATTGCTTTTCTTCTTTCCTAATATTCCAAGATTCTTTCTTTTATCATTTCCTTTCTGTTTGAAGAATTTCCTCCAGCCATCCTTTTAGGATAGGTCTGCCAGTGACAAATTCTCTTAGTTTCTGTTTATCTGAGAATAAACATGCAAATGATTTCCTCTTTATTTGTGAATAATGGTTTTGCCAGATATAGAATTTGTGAAGTTTCCTGATGGTTATTTTCTTTCAGCAGTTGAAAAATGTGCTACTTCTTTTTGGCCTTGAAGATTCTTCATGAAAAATCTGCTGTCATTGGTTTATATACAATGCATCATTTATCTCTGATTGCTTTCAAGATAGTTTTATTTATTTTCAGAAATTTAATTATGATCTATCAAGGCATGAGTTTCTTTGCACTTCTATTTGGTTTGCTCTCAGCTTCTTGAAAGGACTTTCACCTCATTTGATTAGATCGGCCATCATTTCTTTAAATACTCTTTCAGCTCTCTCATTCACCTCTCCTTCTGGGACTATGATGATATAAATGCTGATATTTTGTTATTGTCTCATAGGTCCTGGAGGATCTGTTTTTCCTCTTTAGAAAAAATCTTTTCCTCTCTCTTCACGCTGGTTAAGTTTCATTGTTGTATCCTGGAGTTCAATAATTTTATTTTCTGTCATCTCCACTCTAGTATTGAAGCTACCCAGTTAGTTTTTGTTTTTGTATTTTTTTCTGTTATATAACTTCCGATTTGTTTTTTATAACATCTGTGTTTTTTGTGAGTTTTAATTTTTTTGAGATAATTCATAATTGCTTTTTGAAACACTTTACTAATAGCTATTCATGTTGGTCTTGGCAATCACATGATTGTCTATTTTCATTCAAGTTAATATTTAATTGGTTCTTGGTGTGATGGGTAATTTTTAGTTGAAATCTAAGTGGTTTAGTTATTGTAAGACACTCTAGACCCTATGTAAAGCTTCTGTTTTGCAGGCAGTCACCATGTTTAGATTTATGACTCAGGTCCTAGTCTATTTTTGGTGGTTGTGGCTCCAAATACAATTTAATTTGCAGAGACTTTACTGTATTATTTTGGTCTGCTTTGCTTATCTGATGGCCCTGGAGATCCTGATCATCTTTTCTAGTACCGACTGTGGCAGTAAAAGGTGTTTCCACATGTTGCTCCCCAGTGTTTCTTGTGAGAGAGGTGATCATCTGGCATAGTGGGACAAAGAACTCTTCCCCTGGTCTCCAGTCAATGGGGCTCATGGTCAATTCTTCTGCCAGCACCACTTTGCATATCATGTATTTTCAGCCATTTAGGGGTGGAAAGATTCCCGTTGGGCCACCTACTTCTGCTGGAGGTGGGAGTGGGGGAGTGGTCATAGGATGCTCAGCTGCTGTGGTTTTTCTCTAGTCCTGGGGTCCCTAGTCAGTCCTCCTTAGTCTTTCCACTTTTCACAATGCACCTATGCTTGCCTCATTTCCAGGGTTTATACTTTTACTTAGAGGAAGGAGCAAGGAAGATAAGTCTACATATCTTACTTGAGCCCCCTTCCTTGGTTCTTATACCATTATCATTCTTTCATTAATTTATTGACTAACAAACATTTATTACGCTCCATGCATTGATCCAGACCCTGGGGAATGGCAGAGAACAGCAATCAGAAAGGAAGTTCTGTTTGGAGTGGTTAAAAGGCAATATTTAATCATCAAATTGAAGTCAACCACATAAGGGGTACTCTTCCACATTTCCCAAGTCACAAATCTGGATGTCACAATAAACCCTTCCTTGATGTTCAGTCCTATTGAATCAACCTCTCAAATAGATTCTGTATCTGCAGTTCCCCTTCTCAAAACCCTCCTCCTCCCCAGCCCTTCTTTTCTCTCACTGGAGTCACTTCAGTAGTTGCACAGCGGGTCACTCTCCTCCGGAGTGTTCTCTGTGGTCCCTCCTCCATGCTGCTGTCTGGAGACCTCTCTAAGATACAGGTCTTGCCATAACTCCCACCTGCTGGAGACTGGTAAGAGCCCTACTGGTCTACAGTTCTTAAAGTGGCTGTGGGCAAGTCCACATTGCTCAGGTCAGTGAATGTATGACCCCCATGGCTTGCCTTGTGCCTTTTTCAGACCTTGTCTCACACCCCCACTCTCTTATACATCATTATCTGGAATATAAATACTCATGAGTCCTTGAAATCACTGTGGCATGTTAACTTTTCACATTGTGGTTTGCACTTGCCTCTTTTTATCTAAAATGCTTCCCCTCTCCCTAACCTGACCACAATAAAACTCCTATTTTCTGACACAGAAGGGTGCAAATGTCATCTCCAGGAAGCTGTGACTTTCCCTGACAGTTAAGCACTCTTCTCTTTGCTAACCTGACTGTGCTTTCATAGTTGCGTTTCACTATGAAATGTATTTTATACAGTTTCCTCACTATTTGGTCAATGAGTTTCTCATTAGAAGGGGCTGTGTCTTATGCACTGCATCCTATTTCATACTTAGGAATATCCAGGCATACATAGTGGTTCCTAAATAAATGCTAAATGAACATAGACCATGGAAAGTCTTGCAGTAGTATTATGAGTGGATGTGTGTGTAAGACAGAGAGAGAGAGAAGGATGTGTGTGCTGTTATGGGTACAGGCTTGATGAACTAGACTCAAAATAGCTGTAAGCTTGAAATTTGGTCTTCACTTTCATCTTTCCCTGTTTTCTTCCCAGCACTGGGCTCACTTCCTCTTATTTCCATCGTGGGATATGTTGACGGAGGTATCCAGTTACTCTGCCTGTCCTCAGGCTGGTTCCCACAGCCCACAGTCAAGTGGAAAGGTCCACAAGGACAGCATTTGTCTTCAGACTCCAGAGCAAATGCAGATGGGCACAACATGTATGATGTGGAGACCTCCATTATAGTCCAGGAAAATGCTGGGAGCATATCGTGTTCCATCCACCTTGCTGAGCAGAGTCATGAGGTGGAATCCAAGGTATTGATAGGAGGTGAGTGGGGAGAAGGAGGAGCAAGGAATGGGTGTGTGCATAGGTAACCCAGGGTAGAGCAGCAGCTTGTGTCTGGGATTGCTGTGTAGTACCACCCAGCTTCAGTGATTTGTTTTGAGAGTCAAAGATTGATGAGGTATAAAAAAAAAAAAAAACCAAACATTTGATAAGGCAGAAGTAGAATTGTTTACAATTCCAAGGCAGTAGAATTAAGTATTTCCTTCACCACACAATAGCCCAATGGTGCAACACTCACAACTCAACACATACAAAACTTAAGGAAATTAACTCTAGGACTAAGAAAATAATTGTTTCTTCATTTTGAGAAAACGTCATTGCTCCTTCATGAAGCAGAATAAAAATGTAGAAAATTTCAGAAAGGATTTACAAATAGTAGGAAAATTTACATAAACTAAAATGTTTCCAGAATCACACTCAATGTAAAAGGATTTAATTTGCCAGTTAAAAGACAAAGAACCTCAGACTGGATTTAAAAATCTCATTACTTGAACCCAGGAGGCAGAGGTTGCAGAGAGTGAGTCGAGATGGCACCACTGTGCTCCAGCCTGGGCAGCAGAGCAAGACTCCATCTCAAAAACATAAAAATAAATAAATAATAAAAATCTCTTTTTTTTTAAATTTATTTATTATTATTATACTTTAAGTTGTAGGGTACATGTGCATAACGTGCAGGTTTGTTACATATGTATACTTGTGCCATGTTGCTGTGCTGCACCCATCAACTCGTCATTTACATCAGGTATAACTCCCAATGCAATCCCTCCCCCCTCCCCCCTCCCCATGATAGGCCCCGGTGTGTGATGTTCCCCTTCCTGAGTCCGAGTGATCTCATTGTTCAGTTCCCACCTATGAGTGAGAACATGCGGTGTTTGGTTTTCTGTTCTTGTGATAGTTTGCGAAGAATGATGGATTCCAGCTGCATCCAAGTCCCTACAAAGGACTCAAACTCATCCTTTTTTATGGCTGCATAGTATTCCATGGTGTATATGTGCCACATTTTCTTAATCCAATCTGTCACTGATGGACATTTGGGTTGATTCCAAGTCTTTGCTATTGTGAATAGTGCTGCAATAAACATACGTGTGCATGTGTCTTTATAGCAGCATAATTTATAATCCTTTGGGTATATACCCAGTAATGGGATGGCTGGGTCATATGGTACATCTAGTTCTAGATCCTTGAGGAATCGCCATACTGTTTTCCATAATGGTTGAACTAGTTTACAATCCCACCAACAGTGTAAAAGTGTTCCTATTTCTCCACATCCTCTCCAGCACCTGTTGTTTCCTGACTTTTTAATGATTGCCATTCTAACTGGTGTGAGATGGTATCTCATTGTGGTTTTGACTTGCATTTCTCTGATGGCCAGTGATGATGAGCATTTTTTCATGTGTCTGTTGGCTGTATGAATGTCTTCTTTTGAGAAATGTCTGTTCATATCCTTTGCCCACTTTTTGATGGGGTTGTTTGTTTTTTTCTTGTAAATTTGTTTGAGTTCTTTGTAGGTTCTGGATATTAGCCCTTTGTCAGATGAGTAGGGCAATTCATAAGAGGAAAAATGTAGCACATATGACCTATTTATTGAAAATAAAAAATACTAGAGAAATATTAATCAAGAAGAATCAAACAGATATATTAGTGTCAAGAAAAGGAAGACAAGGTTTTAACAAAAAGGACATTAGGAATAGAGTTATTTCAAAAACATAAGTTCACTCAGTATAAGAATATGAAAATTTTAAATATGTATGTACCTGATACATGTAAAATATAAAAAGAAAATATCAACAGAAATATAAGAAAAAAGATCATACTTCAAGTTCTAAAATTGATTAAATAAGTAGACAAAATGAGTAAGAATATATAATATTTGAAGTAAAAATTAATAAGCCTGAAATAACATATTTTGGAGAAGGATTCCAGGTTTGTAGAATACACATGAATTTTTACCACACTTGGAACTTCTATAAAATTTTGTCAGATATAAACACATAAAATGGTTTTCAGAAAATTTTCAAACATTGATATCATGCACACAAAATTCTCTAATCATAATTTAATAAAGTTAAATGACCATAGCAAATGATAGTTTAAATTCTTATGTGTTTGAAAAATTTTTAAACATAAAAATAACTGAGAAATTGAAGAAAGCATAGTGATAGGTAGAAAATTCTTAAAACTGATAATAAAATTACAATCTATCATAATGTGTAAAATGGAACTAATATGGTTTTCTGAGTCAAAATTTTATCTGGCCAGGCGCGGTGGCTCACGCCTGTAATCCCAGCGCTTTGGGAGGCCAAGGCGGGTGGATCACCTGAGGTCAAGAGTTCAAGACCAGCCTGGCCAAAATGGTGAAAGCCTGTCTCTACTAAAACTTCAAAAACTAGCCGGGTGTGGTGGGCGGGCACCTGTGATCCCAGCTACCCGGGAAGCTGAGGCAGGAGAATCGCTTGAACCTGGGAAGTGGCGGTTGCAGTAAGTCGAGATCGTGCCACTGCACTCCAATCTGGGGGACAGAGCAAGACTCCATCTCAAAAAAAAAAAAAAAAAAAAAAAAAATTATATCCTTAAATCCTTAAATGTTCTTATTAGCATGGAATCGCTGAATATTGATATTAGGCGTCAATATATATTTCAGAAAACAGCAAAAGAAAGTGGAAGAAATCCTAAAGATATAGAAATATGGAAATATTAAGACAAATAGTGCAGATTAATACATCTAAACTTAGATGGTTCAAAGTGTTATTAAAATAGATAAACTGGCAGCATCAGTTAAGAATAAAAGAGAAACAGCACAATTTAAGAATGCAGGAAATAACAAGAAGGCACAACTAAAGATTGAGTAGAGATTTATAAGATAAACTGCTTTGAATAACTTTTTCCTTTTCTACTGAATATGATGAAGTGAAAGTTTTCATAGAAAAATGTAAAATACAGACCAGGTGCAGTGGCTCACGCCTGTAGTCCCAGCACTTTGGAAGGCTGAAGCGGGCAGATCGCTTGAGGTCAGGAGTTTGAGACCAGCCTGCCCAAAATGGCAAAACCCCATCTCTACTAAAAATACAAAAATTAGGTGGGCGTGGTGGTGTGTGTCTGTAATCCCAGCTACTCAGGAGGCTGAGGCATGAGAATCACTTGAATCCAGGAGGCAGAGATTACAGTGAGCTGAGATCACCCCACTGCACTCCAGCCTGGGGGACAGAGTGAGACTCTGTCTCAAAAATTTTTTAAACAGAAGACAAACGTAAAATACAAAATCCGAAGGAAAGATAGACTACCTGACTAATTTGTAACCGTGAAAGATGTGGAGTCAGCATTTAAAAGTCTTCCCACAAGGAAGACACAAGAGCCACATTGTTTTATATGCAAAGTCAACCAAATATTCAAGAAAAGAGAAAATGTATCTTTCACAAAGTCATCCAGAAAACAGAAAAACAGGAAATATTAAACTAATTTTATTGAGTCAACATAATTTTGGCACCACAACAGAAATGGGCAACTCGAAAAAGGAAAAATTTTTACCAACATTATTCATAATTGAAAATGTAAAAATCTTACCAAAAATTTTGCAAGTAGAAAAGTCCACAAAAACATATCTCATGACCAAGCTTATCCTGGAAAAAAATGTTAGGTCAACATGGGAACATATATTAATGTAATTATTACCATAATTAGTTAAAAGAGATAAACTATAATTTTCTTAGGAGACATAAATAAAACATAGATAACTTTCAACATCTATTCATCATGATTTCAACACTTGCAAATCTAGAAATAGAAGAAAACTTTTTATCAATCTAGAAATAGGAGAGACCCTGCTTAAGCGGATAAAAAGATATCTAAAGGTACTTGCAGCAAACATCATACAAAATAGTAAGCCACTTAATTTTTTAAATACACACAGAAAACATACCTAATGTGTCTTTAAAATCATAACATAAGGAGATTGCATTAGACACTTCTGTTCCATATTATATTAGAGTACTGTTACTATTAGCAGTCACTTCAATAAGGGAAGAAAATGTAAAAGTTATAACTTTTAGAAAGAAAAAAATAAAATGGCCATTGTTCACAGTCTATATGATTATATAAATGGAAAATTTAGGAAAATTTACAGACAAATTCTTTCAACTCATAAAAGAACCCATCGTGTTCATGAAAAATGAGATAAATAAACAAAATCAATTGCATTAGTAAACATCAGCAAAGGAAGAAAAACACATGCCATGTACAATAACAATAAAAAAATGTTAACCAGGAATAAGTCTAATAAAACATTTACAAAATCTTATTGAAGGGTATTACAAAACTGCAGTAACAGACACTAATGAAAACTAAAATAAGAGAACAAATATAACACCTTTCAGATAAGATGCATATTTTTAAAGATATCAGTTCTCCTACAATTGCTATACAGATTCAATACAATTCCATAGAAAAATTTCAGCACATTTTTTTGTTTCTTGAGACGAGCTGTCACTCTGTCGCCCATGCTTGAGTAGAGTGTTGCAATCATGGCTCACTGCAACCTCAACTTCCCATGCTCAAGCAATCCTCCCACCTCAGCCTCCCAAGTAGCTGGGACCACAGGTGTGCACCACCTTGCCTGGCTACTTTTTTTTAATTTTAAATATTTTTAGAGATGGGGATCTCACTTTGTTGCCTAGACCGGTCTCGAACTCCTGTCCTTAAATCCTCCCACCTCAGCCTCCCAAACTGTTGGGATTACAGGCATGAGCCACCGCACTTGACCCAGAGTTTTCTTAAAGCCTAACAAGTCAATTCCAAAATTTATGTGGCAAAACAAATAGCCAAGAAGTGCTAAGACACAGTGGAATAAGAGCAAGCTAAGAAGCTTAGTCTTATCTCAGAGACATATCCCAAAGCTTTGAAGATTAAGCCAATTAAAATTATTGGCACAGAGATAACCCTATGGATCAATGAGAAAGAACAGAAAGCCCAGAAACAAATCCAAGCTGGAACAGAAACTTGAGGTACACAGAGGTGACCTTGCATGTGTGGCAGTGTGTGAAGCAAGGTCCACTCAATAAACATTGCCAGCACAGTCAATACCTGCTTAGAAGAAGATGACATTGAACTTCCGCCTCATTACATACACACACACACACACAAACACACGTGAATATATATATAAAATCCAGATGGATCAAGACTTATACAGAAACGCAAAGCTTTAAATCTGTAGAAGAAATTGGAGAAAAATGTTTTCATCTTGGGGTACTGGGGGATTCCTTAAATGGGCGTAAAATGGTCTTACCTGCTTAGTAATCACTAAGGGGTCTGTGGGACTGTTTTTCAGAGACGTTTTTCCAGCCCTCACCTTGGCGCCTGGCCTCTATTTTACTCGGATTACTCTGTGGTGGCCTATGTGTTGTTGTCATGGGGATGACAGTTGTTTTCTTCAAATCCAAAGGTAAGTGAGAGAGAGAAGTATGGGCCCACACCTTCTTCGTGGTTCCTGTGGAGCTGGTATCAGGCTGCCCTCACACACCTCCGGGCTCTGTTGTTCCAGCCCTAGGCCCCCAGGGTCCACCACCTGAGGCACAGGGAAGCCAGTCCTCAGCCTCCTCTGTGCTGGCCTGAAACGGCTCCTTCAGGAAATGCCAGCCTCTGCCAATCCCTTTCTACTTTACATGGAGCACAGGATAAGCAGATCATTGATTTTCAGTACAAAAAGAGTTCCCATAAATTCCTACAAACAGGCTGAGTGTGTTGGCTCGTGTCTGTAATCCCAGCATTTTGGGAGGCCAATGTGGGAGCATCACTTGAGCCCAGGAGTGTAAGACCATCCTGGGCCACATGGCGAGAACTCCTCTCTACAAAAAAATTTTTAAAAATAAAATAAAATAATTAGCCAGGTGTGGTGGTTCATGACTGGGGTCCCAGCTTCTCAGGAGGTTGGGATGGGAGGCTGGCAAGGCTTTAGTGAGCCATGTTCGCACCACTGCACGCCGGCCTGGGCAACAGAGTGAGACCCTGACTCAAAAAATAAATATATAAAAATGAATAAATTTCCACTAGCTACAACAGGAGTCTTACAAGAAAATTTCAGGGTAGTTGCAAAGCCTTCATAAAAGAGGAAATAAAACTCAGTGACTGAGATAAAATGATAATCTCAGTAAGAGTCTTCACCCCAGAACAAATTTCCTCCTTGGGAGTGACACTTCCCCTTGGGGATGAGGCCGCCCCCGCCTCCCCTCCCCCCCTCCCCCCCCCCCCCCCCCCCCCCCCCCCCCCCCCCCCCCCCCCCCCCCCCCCCCCCCCCCCCCCCCCCCCCCCCCACCTCCCCTCCCAGCCGCCTTCTCCCACCCCATCCCCCCGCCTCCCCTCCCAGCCGCCTTCTCCCACCTCCCTTCCCCCGCCTCCCTCCCAGCCGCCTTCTCCCACCTCCATCCCCCCCTCCCCTCCCAGCCGCCTTCTCCCACCTCCATCCCCCGCCTCCCCTCCCAGCCGCCTTCTCCCACCTCCATCCCCCCGCCTCCCCTCCCAGCCGCCTTCTCCCACCTCCATCCCCCCGCCTCCCCTCCCAGCCGCCTTCTCCCACCTCCATCCCCCCGCCTCCCCTCCCAGCCGCCTTCTCCACCTCCATCCCCCCCTCCCCTCCCAGCCGCCTTCTCCCATCTCCATCTCCCCGCCTCCCCTCCCAGCCGCCTTCTGCCATCTCCATCTCCCCGCCTCCCCTCCCAGCCGCCTTCTGCCATCTCCATCCCCCCGCCTCCCCTCCCAGCCGCCTTCTCCCACCTCCATCCCCACCTCCACAGCATCCCAGCTGTTGTCCCTCTCCTTAGCATGAACCTTCCTGATCTCTTGCTCCCCCCAGACAGCTATGCTCCGTGCGGGGGGCTGCGGAGACAAGCACATGTTAAGTGTTCTAGGAGAGGCCCTGCCCTTCACACCCGCAGCTTGTCCCACCTGTGCAAGCAGCCAGGGTCATGTTTGTACCTTGCACACTCCTGTGTCCACCACTGAATACACTGTTTCTGTTTCAGGGAAAATCCAGGCAGAATTGGGTAAGTGTGTGTCACGTCCTGAGCCTCCCACACATGGTTCTCCCGGGTCCCTCCCTGATCCACAGCGTGAGCCTCTGGAGACCCCGGCTCCAGGCTGGACAGGAAGTACTGGCAGGGGGAGGAGAGCAGCTGCCTCGCTCTCTCCATCCACGGCTAATGAGTTGCCCCTCAGATATCTGGAGGGCTTAGGATAGGCCTCAGGGCCTGGAAGTCCCATCTGTGCCTGTTGCCCGTTGGTCCGCTCTGTGTGTGGTGGGGGAGGTGTTGATCACGAGCTCTGAGGGTGTGGACCACAGGGAGGAACCTGAGAAAAATTGGTGGGTGATCCTCAACCTCCCTGGCCTGATGCTTTGAGACTTTACCCAGTCCTGTATCAACCACTAAATCGTCTGCTTTTTGTTTCGTGCGAACTGCAGGATAAACTGGGTGAGAATGTTATCACATGCAGGGCTTTCCTCCCACGCTCTCCTTGGGCCCTGCTCTGTGATGTCAGCCTCTTATGTGTGTTTTTTTTTTTTTTCAGACTGGAGAAGAAAGCACAGACAGGCAGGTAAAGAAATATTCCTCTTCCCACATTTATGACTCCTTTCCGAGTCTCTCGTTTATGGATTTTTATATCCGGAGGCCCATGGGTCCCTGCAGAGCCAAGCTTGTGATGGGAACTCTGAAACTGCAGATTCTGGGGGAGGTACATTTTGTAGAGAAGCCCCACAGCCTTCCTCAGATCTCTGGAGGGCCCACGACACTCAAAAAAGGTCCTAATCCTTGGTCTCTCCCTTCTCCCTGAGGCCTGTTTCCCACCTGAGCACTGAACTGCCTGTTCTGTCTGCTTGCTTTCAGAATTGAGAGATGCCCGGAAACACGCAGGTACCGACGCCTGAGAGGGTGACGGTGGGCATGGAGTAGGAAGATGACTAGTGACAAATATGGAGCCCACCCGGCTTCCAGACAGCAAATCTGTGATGCCCCAATCCACCCCAGGTTGCCGCTGCCTCTAAATGCACTTCTTGGCCCAGGACTTGGAAGGAAAAGCATAGGGACTGGGTCAGCTCGGAGGGGTCACAGGCAAGACGCCAGGGAACTGAGGGCACCAGTAGCTGGCTTCTAGGGGTCTGTGCTAAGGGGAAAGAAGTGAAGTCAGCAGGAACGGGTGGGTGGAAGGAAGGTGAATCCTGGAGTCACTCAAGGTCTCACAAAGTCAAATATGGGCTTACCTGGGAGGGCAGTGGTCGGGCTGGGTGATACAGAGGAGTTGAACCTCTGGTGGTTGAGCATCTCCAAGCATCAGTGAGGCACAGGGGCTGCCCTGGAGAAGAGACATGGCTGAGGGGATAGTAGGACTGGCCGGATCCTACCCGGAGCCAGTCTGCAGTGGGAGGGTCGACCTCTTATTCTAGCCCAGATTTCCTCTTCAGTAACTCACGCTTCCTCTCTCCCCCACCGCACCCCAGTGGAGGTGACTCTGGACCCGGAGACGGCTCACCCACAGCTCTGCGTTTCTGATCTGAAAACTGTAACCCATAGAAAAGCTCCCCAGAAGCTGCCTAACTCTACGAAGAGATTCACAACGCAGAGCGTGGTGGCTTCTCAGGGTTTCCAGGCAGGGAAACATTACTGGGAGGTGGACGTGGGACAACATGTAGGGTGGTGTGTGGGAGTGTGCCAGGATGACACAGACAGGAGGAAGGACGCTGTGACTTTTTCTCCCAACGATGGGTACTGGGTCTTCGGACTGACGACAGAATATTTGTATTTCACATTCAATCCCCATTTCATCAAACTCTCCCCTGAGATCCCTCCTACACGAGTAGGGGTCTTCCTGGACTATGAGGGTGGGAACATCTCCTTCTTCAACACAAATGACCAGTCCAGAATTTGTATCCTGACATGTCAGTTTCAAGGCCTCTTGAGACCCTATATCCGGCATGTGATCTATGAAGAGAAAAATAGGACTCCCATATTCATATGTCCAGTGTCCTGGGATCAGAGAGAGAAGACCCTGCTTAAAGGGCCCCACACCGCAGACCCAGACACAGCCAAGGGAGAGTGCTCCCCACAGGCGGCCCCAGCTTCCTCTCTGAAGCCTGAGCACAGGAAGTGACGCCTCCCACTCTCCTTTAGGGTGCTGAGGTTCTTCTCTCCTAAGCCCGGTAGCAGCAGCAGCTTCCAGATGAGGGAGGATTGGCCTGTCCCTGTGGGAGTCAGAAGCCATGGCTGCCCTGAAGTGGGGATGGAATAGACTCACATAAGATTTACTTTGTGAAAACTCCATCCAGCTAAGTGATCTTGAACAAGTCACAACCTCCCAGGCTCCTCACTTGTTAGTCAGGAATAGTGATTCCCACCTCGCAGGTAAAGATTAAAGAGATGATGAATGTGAATCCTGCTTGCAGGTTTGATGGCACAGTGTTTTCTAATGATGTGTTTTTATATTATACATTTTCCCACCATAAACTCTGTTTGCTTATTCCACATTAATTTACTTTTCTCTATACCAAATCGCCCACGGGATAGTTATTGAACACCTGCTAGTGAGGCTCAAAGAATAAAGAGGAGGGAGGATTTTTCACTGATTCTATAAGCCCAGCATTACCTGATACCAAAACCAGGCAAAGAAAACAGAAGAAGAGGAAGGAAAACTACAGGTCCATATCCCTCATTAACATAGACACAAAAATTCTAAATAAAATTTTAGCAAATGAAACTAAACAATTTATTTAAAGATGACATATAACTACTCAGTGTGGTTTGTCCCACAAATGCAGGGTTGGTTTAATATTTAAATATCAGTCAGTGTAATTCAGCACATTAATAAAGTAAAAAAGAAAACCATATGATCATTTCAATAGATACAGAGCAAAAGTTTTATAAAGCCACCATCATTACTGATAAAACCTGTCAACAAAGAAGATACACAGATGAAAAATAAGCACATGAAGAGATAGTCAATGTCATTAAATATTAAGGAAATGCAAACTAAAACCACAACAACATACCATTACCATCTATTAGAGTGGCTAAAATTACAAAGACTGACCATAGCAAGCGCTGGTGAGGATGTGGAAGGAGGGAAACTGTCATGCACTGCTCATGGGAATGTCAAATAACGTAGTCACTTTGGAAAACAGTTCAGTAGTTTCCTTAAAAGTTAAACAGTCACTAACCACATGATCCAGCATGGCCTTCTAATTATTTTTCCAAGAGAAAAGGAAATATGTGAATGTTCATAGCAGCTTTATTTGTAACAGCCAAAATTTGAAAACAACACAAAGCTCACCAGTTGATGAACAAATTATGACATATCCATGCAAATAAAGTGCCACTCAGAAACAAAAAAGAATAAGCTATTTTATACACACAAAATCATGAAATCTCACAGCAATTATTCCCAGTAGTGCTTGCTTCGGCAGCACTTTACTAAAATTGGAATGATACAGAGATTAGCGTGGCCCCTGCACAAGGAGGACGTGCACATCCATGAAGTGTTCCATAGTTAAATTTAATTTTACGATAAAGAAAAACACTGGAAGGATCTGGCAAGATGTCTGAATAGGAACAGCTCCGGCTTGCAGCTCCCAGCGAGACCAATGCAGAAGACAGGTGATTTCTGCATTTCCAACTGAGGTACCCTGTTCATGTCATGAGGACTGGTTAGGCGGTGAGTGCAGCCCATGGAGTGCAAGCAGAAGCAAGGTGGGGCGCTGCCTCACCCAGGAAGTGCAAGGAGTGGGGGACCTCCCTCCGGGCCTCCCTCCGCCAGCCAAGGGAAGCTGTGAGGGGCTGTGCTGTCTGGCCCAGACACTATGCTTTTCCCACAATTTTTGCAATCCACAGAACAGGAGAGTCCCTCATGTGCCTACACCACCAGGGCCCTGGGTTTCAAGCACAAAACTGGGTAGTTGTTTGGGCAGACACCGAGCTAGCTGCAGGCTTTTTTTTCCGTACCCCAGTGGCGCCTGGAACCACAGTGAGACAGAACTGTTCACCCCCTGGAAGGGGGGCTGAAGCCAGGGAGCCAAGTGGGCACACACAACAGGTCCCACTCCCACAGATCCCAGCAAGCTAAGAACCACTGGCTTGAAATTCTCACTGCCAGCACAGCAGTCTGGAGCTGACCTGGGACGATGGAGCTTGGTGCGGGGAGGGGCATCTGTCATCACTGAGGCTTGAGTAGGCGGTGTTCCCCTGACAGTGCTAAGGAGGCCTGGAAGTTTGGACTGGGCGGAACTCAACATAGCACGGCAAAGAGGCTGTGGCCAGACTGTGTCTCTCGATTCCTCCTCACTGGGCAGGGCATCTCTGAAAGAAAGGCAGCGGTCCCAGTCAGGGGCTTAGACAAAACCCCCATCTCCCTTGGACAGAGCACTTGGGGAAAGGGGTGGCTGTGGGCGCAGTTTCAGTGGACGTAAACGTTCCTGCCTGCTGGCTCTGCAGACAGCAGCAGATGCTGACAGGGAGGGTTCTTCCAGCACAGTGCTCGAGCTCTGCTAAGGGACAGACTGCCTCCTCAAGTGGGTCCCTGACCCCTGTGCCACCTGACGGGGAGAGACCTCCCAACGGGGGTTGACGGACATCTCATAAGGGGAGCTCTGGTTGGCCTCAGGCCAGTGGCCCTCTAAGATGAAGCTTCCAGAGGAAGGAGCAGGCAGCAGTCTTTGCTGTTCTGCAGCCTCCACTGGTGATACCCAGGCAAATAGGTTCTGGAGTGAACCTCCAGCAAACTGCAGCACACGCAGAAAAGAGGCCTGACTGTTAGAAGAAAATCTAACAAACAGAAAGCAGTAACATCAACATCAACAAAAGGTCCCCCCCCACAAAAACCCCATCCAAAGGTCATCAGCCTCAAAGATCAAAGGTAGGTAAATCCACAAAGCTGAGGAAAAACCAGCTCAAAATTGCTGGAAATTTCAAAAACCAGAATGTTTCTTCCCCAAATGACCGTAACTCCTCTCTAGCAAGGGCACAAAATTGGACAGAAAATGAGTTTGACAGAATTGACGAATTGACAGAAGTAGGCGTCAGAACATGGGTAATAACAAATTCCTCTGAGGTAAAGGAGCATGTTTTAACCCAATGCAATGAAGCTAAGAACATTGACAAAAGCTTATAGGAACTGCTAACTAGAATAATCGGTTTAAAGAAGAACATAAATGACCTGATGGAGCTGAAAATCACAGCACGAGAACTTCGTGAAGCATACGCAAGCATCAATAGCCAAATAGATCAAGAGGAAGAAAGGATATCAGAGACTGAAGAACAACTTACTGAAATAAGGCATTAAAACAAGATTAGAGAAAAAGAATGAAAAGGAACAAACAACGCCTCCAAGAAATAGGGGACTATGTGAAAAGACCAAACCTATGCTTGATCAGGGTCCCTGAAAGTGACAGGGAAAATGGAACCAAGTTGGAAAACACACTTCAGAATATTATTCAGGAGAACCTCCCCAACCTTGCAAGACAGGCCAACATTCAAATTCAGGAAATACAGAGAAAATCACTAAGATACTCCTCAAGAAGAACAACCCCAAGACACATAATTGTCAGATTCACCAAGGTTGAAATGAAGGAAAAAATATTAAGGGCAGCCAGAGAGAAGGGTCAGGTTACCTACAAAGGGAAGCCCATCAGACTAACCGTGGATCTCTCTGCAGAAACCCTACAAGCCAGAAGAGAGTGGGGGCCAATATTCACCATTCTAAAAAAAATTTTCAACCCAGAATTTCATATCCAGCCAAACTAACCTTCATAAGTGAAGAAGAAATATAGTCCTTTACAGACAAGTAAATGCTGGGGGATTTTGTCACCACCAATCCTGCCCTACAAGAGCTCCTGAAGGAAGCACTAAATATGGAAAGGAAAAACTGGTACCAGCCATTGCAAAAACACACCAGAATATAAAGACCAACAACACTGTGAAGAAACTGCATCAAGGAATGTGCAAAATAACCAGCTAGCGTCATGATGACAGGATCAAATTTACACATAACAATATTAACCTTAAATGGAAATGGGCTAACTGCCCCAATTAAAAGACACAGACTGGCAAACTGGATAGAGTCAAGATCCATCAGTGTGCTCTATTCAGGAGACCCAGCTCACATGCAAAGACACACATAGGCTCAAAATAGAGGGATAGAGGAATATTTACCAAGCAAATGGAAAGCAAAAAGAGCAGGGGTTGCAATCCTAGTCTCTGATAAAACAGAGTTTAAAGCAACGAAGACAAGTGAGGGCATTACATAACGGTAAAGGAATCAATGCAATAAGAAGAGCTAACTATCCTAAATATACATGCACCAAATACAGGAGCACTCAGATTCATAAAAGAAGTTCTTAGAGACCTACAAAGAGACTTAGACTCCCACATAATAATAGTGGGAGACTTTAACACCCCACCGTCAATATTAGATAGATCAACGAGACAGAAAATTAACACGGATATTCAGGACTTGAACTCAGCTCTGGACCAAACAGACCTAATAGACATCTACAGAACTCTTCACCCAAAATCAACAGAATACACATTCTTCCTAGCACCACATAGTACTTATTCTAAAATTGGCCACGTAATTGGAAGTAAAACACTCCTCCACAAATGCAAAAGAATGGAAATCATAACAGTCTCTCAGACCATACTGCAGTCAAATTAGAACTCAGGATTAAGAAACTCACTCAAAACCACACAATTACATGGAAACTGAACAGGCTACTCATGAATGACTACTGGGTAAATAACAAAATCAAGGCGGAAATAACAAAGTTATTTGAAACCAATGAGAACAAAGACACAACATACCAGAATCTCGGGGACACAGCCAAAGCAGCGTTAAGAGAAAAATTTATAGCACTAAATGCCCACATCAGAAAGTGGAAGAGATGTAAAATTGACACTCTAACTCACAATTAAAAGAACTAGAGAAGCAAGAGCAAACAAATTCAAAAGCTAGCAGCAGATAAGAAATAATTAATATCAGAGCAGAACTGAAGGAGATAGAGACATGAAAAGCCCTTCAAAAAATCAATGAATCCAGGAGTTAATCTTTTGTGAAAAGACTAACAAAATAGATAGACCACTAGCTAGACTAATATAGAAGAAAAGAGAGAAAAATCAAATAGACACAATAAAAAATAATAAAGGGGATATCACCACTGACCCCACAGAAATACAAACTACCATCCGAGAATACTATAAACACCTCTATGCAAATAAACTAGAAAATCTAGAAGAAATGGACAAATTTCTGGACACACACACCCTCCCAACACTAAACCAGGAAGAAATCGAATCCCTCAATAGACCAATAACAAGTTCTGAAGTTGAGGCAGTAATTAATAGCCTACCAACAACAACAAAAAAGCCCAGGACCAGACAGATTCACAGACCAATTCTACCAGAGGTACAAAGAGGAACTGGTACCATTCCTTCTGAAACTAGTCCAAACAATAGAAAAAGAAGGAATGAGGCCAGCATC